AAAGAAATTGAATGGGAAGTCAAAAAATAACTAATAAAATCTTAAATATCAACAAAATAAACAGAAAATTCGTTGAATTCTGTACTTAGTATTAGCTCATTCCAATTTTAGTATGAACATATATACATGGAACATGGCAAAACTGAAATCAATATCGTGTTTACAAAAATTGGGGAATGTTTGCGATAAAGCGAGATCCCATAGTTTATGATCGATATACACTTAACAAGCTCGATGAACTAAATTGAATGCCAGGAATTACATTCTTAACCAATTTTAGTCCGAATCGACCTCAATTAACAAGCAAATGCCAGTTCGACGATGTATATAACATTCAACTTGAGAAACGACTGTAGAAATGAGCTAAAGAAATTACCGTCTTGCGAGAGCAGAGGATAATCAGAGGCGCTGAGATTAATGAACCAATCCCAATCCTTAGCGCGCTTCAGCAATATCGCAATTGCTTGAAGTGTAGAAGCAATCATAGTTGGACCTTTATCAGTGATCAAATTGGCCTTGCCTACAACCATCACATTCCTGAACTCTCTAAATACACTCTCCGATTTCACATATTTCGCCAGTTCGAGTCTCTCGGAATCCGAAGCTTCAAGATCGAGATGTAGCAGATAGTAGTTCCTCGGGTGATATACCGCCTGAAGAAGCCGCCTCATCGATCCACCATCTCCTTTGGTTCCTGATATGAAATACGCAAATCTCGGCAGTGGAGGAAGCCCTAGCTCTAGCATTTCATTCCCATCGGAGTCCAATACCAATCTCGTTGTGCCATGAGAAAAATCGGCGTCGGAAGAAGATTTAGGGTACCCGGGAGTAACAATTAGAATGAATATCAGAAACAGCAAGCAAAATACCCCCAACGACATCAGCCATTTCCGATCTGGATAATAGGGATTATGATTCTTCTTCATTTGAACTTACCAATTTCAAATTGGGATGCGATTTCTTAAACCCAAAACCTCGATCCGAACTTACAACTCAAAATAAGCTGAGTCGAGTTATTGGACTTGAACCATCGTAGATGAAAATGGATTTACGGGCGTGTTTGAAGCTTTCGATGCTTGAGAAAGAGTTCGGAAGGTGAAAGTGAGCTGTCGGCGCACCGGTCAGTGGCCTACTTGGTTGGTAAGAAGAAAATATAATTAAAGAAAAAAAAATTAATTGTTAATTTATTATTTTGCTGCTTAATATTTAGTCACCAATACTTGCACAGCCAATTTTTCTCGTTCAAATACAATTTAAAAAAATATATCATTTTTTTATTAAAAAAAAAATGAATATTAAAAGTTTATCAGGCAAAAAAAAAAAAAAAAAAAAAAA